TTGGGGAATTCTAATCTTTGAAAATTGGAGAATTTGGGAACTCCATGAATAGAAGGAATCCATGGATGAAAACCATCATACGTCTAAGCCAATTGCTTATCTTCAATGGAGGAATTGAGACTTGACTTGAAACCCTAGGTTGAACCCTTCTTCTTCTTTAAGTTCTAGAGAGAAATATTTTGGAGAGTTCTTCTTTTTGGTGAATTGAGAGAATGATTTCTATTGGGAAATTTGGGGGTTAAAATACTTATATAGGGGTCTTAGTGAGGGTAAAACGACGTAGTATTAGGCTAGACTAATTAGGAAAAGACCCAACTACCCCTAAACTTAACTGCCGACCCACCATCTACGACCCTAATCGACGAACTGTGGACTGACCTATGGCCCGTCCTGGTGGTCCATCGTTCGAATTAGAGAGCTGGATTTTGGCCTTTGAACCATGGGCCCCCAACCACAGATCTTGGTCTGACCGACGGTCCGTTGGTCAGGCCGTGGTTTCATGGTTCTTAGGAGACTATGGGTGCCCAGTCCACGGACCATACCCACGATCCGTGGTCCTATCCACGGGTCGTGGTTGGCCCTCATGGTTGGCACCTGAAATCCCTGAAAATTGCCATGTTGCCCTTTTTCGAATACGGGGTGTTACACCCCTCTCCCTTACCTTGAAACTAGATGAAAATTGAGATAAACACCATCTCACAACACAACTCTCAACTATAAGACATCACGACACAAACCAAACGCAACAACCACTACAAATGTCTGCTACGAACTCACTTGTAGCCTCAAAATCTCTTGCAGAGGTCTCAATTACTAGGTCACCTCTTAACGGAACACAACAACCACAATTCATCACAATTAAACAAGAGTTTTCAGTTTTAAACCTCCCGATCTTTGAGTTCTTATTAGCTCATTTCATTATGTGGACTCTAACAAGGGTACTATGGTCTCAACCTCTATAACGATTAGATGGGTCGTTACATAAGATACCAATTAAACAATCGTTGTCCCCGAACGGACAAGAAAGGGAATAAGGAAAGAATTACCCAACTCAGTGAAAAGTTTGGGATATTTACTATGAATGTCTGATTCAGTCTCATAAGTGGCCTATTCCACGGGATGGTCCTTCCACTAGACCTTCATGGATGCAATATCTCTGGACCTCAGCTTACAGACCTCTCTATCTAAGATAATCACTGGCTATTCTTCATAAGACAACTTTTCCTTAAACAAGACTAAATCCCAACAAATAATATAATTACCATCACCATGATACTTTTTCAACATAGAAACATGAAATACCGGTGAACTCCCAACAAACCTGGAGGCAAATCCAATTCATAGGCTACCTCCCCCACACGTCTAAGAATCTCAAATGGACCAACAAAGTTTGAACCTCCCTAGTCAATGGATGCTTTGTAACCTCCAAACAAGCTAGACTACCTATTCTCTCGGACTTCTTACTCAGAGCATCAACTACTACATTGGCCTTACCCAGATAATATAAAATGGTGACATCATAATCCTTGAGCAACTTCATCCACCTCTGCTGCCTTAAGTTAAAGTCTCTCTAAGTAAATAAATGTTGCAAACTACAGTAATCCGTAAATACCTCATAACAGAAACCATAAAGGTAGTGTCTCCAAATCTTTAGAGCAAACACTACTGCTCCCAACTCGAAGTCATGATCAAAATATCACCTAAACAAAACGTGAAGCATCATAATAAACAACAAAATTTGTACCCTCCATAGTCAATGCTAAGATGGGAGCCGTAGTCAGTGGAGTCATGAGATTTAGAAAGCTCTCCTCTCACTCATCAGACCACGGAAACAACACTTCTTTCTGAGTCAAACGAGTCAGCTAGGAAGCAATAGAAGCAAATTAATCACAAAAAACAGTCCCAACTCTTTACTGCCTCCACTTTCTGTGGATCAATCATTATCCATTCCTTCGTAACCACATGCCCCAAGAAGGATGCATCTTACCACCAAAACTCACATTTTGAGAACTTCGGAAAAAATTTCTTTTCAACAACCCCGAAACAATGCTCAAATGATTCTTATGATCCTCCTTACTCCTCAAATATACCAATATATCATTAATAAAAATTATCACAAACAAATCCAAATACGGTTTAAAAGATCCCATTTATCAGGCTCATAAAAGCAGCTGGGGCATCAGTAAGCCCAAAAGACATAACCAAAATTCATAGTAGGGGAAAACTCTGTATACGAGCCGTATACTAAAAGATACTAAAAAAGAAAACCTATATCAAAAAAGGAGACCCAATCTTCTATACAAACCGGGTTCTCATAGGAACACCAAAAACAAACTAGAACAAAAGACTATTTTCCAGCTTTACAATATCTTGTGCAACCCCTTCAAATGCTCTTCTCTTTCTCTCTCTCCAAACAACGCTCAACAACTTTACAAAAAAAAAAAGATATGATTTCTAAAAACAACGCTTGATTTTTTGTACATATATAGGGACCTCGTGGGTGCACCAAAAAGAAATACTCCCTCTATTTCAATTAGTTTGTCTTACTTTCCTTTTTAGGCCGTTTAAAAAAGAATGGCACTTTCTATATTTAGTAGCTCTTTACACCCAACATCCTATATGACATATTTAAGACCACATGATTCAAAGGGTATTTTGGTTCATTACACACATCTTCTGTTTGATAAAATTGTACCACCGAAACTTAAAGGTAAGTTCTACAAGTGGTGGTTAGATAGACTTTGTTGTGTGGACGGAGTGCTGGTCAATCAAGAACTTTCATGTTCAGAAGATACTAGTTGAAGAGATGGATGTGTGGACATACTAGAAGAGATAGGATTAGGAATGAGGATATCCGAGACAAGGTGGGAATGACCTCCGTAGTGAGATAGTTTGGGCATGTGAAGAGGAGATGTGTAGACCCCCCGTGAGGAGGTGCGAGAGGTTTCATATAGTGGGTATGAGGAGAGGTAGAGGTAGGCCGAAGAAGTATTGGGGAGAGTTGATTAGAGATAACATGATGCAACTTCAACTTACCGAGGACATGACCTTAGATAGAAGGGTATGAGAGTCACGAATTAGGTATAAGGTTAGTAGGTGGTTGAGTTTTGTCTTGCTTTTTGGCGCAATTAGGCTTGGTGGGAGTCCGGTAGCACCGTGTTTGTTGTAGTATTAGTCATAAACAAGTAGTCTCTTGCTTTTGATATCTACTACCATTTGTTGTCTGTTGTGTTTTAGTTACCGCTTTATTCCGTCGTTGTTATTATTCTTTTTTCTGAATGCTTTGTACTGCTTTCCTTATCAATTGTCATGTTCTCTTCAGTGTCGTATTTTTTTTTCATAACTGTTTGGATTTGTTGCACTTAAGGCGAGGGTCTTTGAAAATAGTCTCTCTACCTCCACGAGGTAGAGGTAAGGTATGCGTACACTGTACCTTCCCAAGACCGCACTTGTGGGATTGGACTGGTTATGTTGTTGTTGTACGCACATCTTTAGTTTAAGACCACAAGATTCAAAAGCCTTTTATTTTTCTAAAACTTTGTGCTGTGTAAAACTAAGACAAAAAATTTGAGGAGGCAGTAAAAGATAGAGGTTATTCCTCAAGCTTACATAATTCTTCTCTACTTATTGAAAGCTCTTCTATTTTTCTCTCTTCATATCTTCCACATTTGTGCTAATGGCGCAACACCCCATGCTTCATGTTTTCTCTTTCCTCTCTTAAGGGTCTAGTTAAATATTTGCATATTTAACCGTGCCTAATATCACTCATTGAAGACCAACTCATATCAGTATTTCACACCACAAGTAAGACTATCCGATAATGTAATAGGATGTGATTCATGTCTTTTCTGGAGCTTTTACTCATGAAGTATCTACTGATGTATGTAATCTCCTCTTCCGCGAGTTCTCAGCCGTCAAGATCACCTCCTCACGGCTAGCCAAGTGAAAAAGTACCCTTTTCTCAGTATGCCAACTCTTACCTGCCCAAAAGCTTCTCATAATTGGACTTAAAAGAAAATATGTCATTATTCTCTGTCCTCCATCTCCATGCATCATGATTAGCCTGTATAATATTTTGTTTGTGAAGTAATCCAATTCAACGTTAGAATTTTGCCATCTCCTAATCTCGCAAGTTCCTCATGAACCTCAAAGCCAATGAACTTATCTACCTTGTAGCCTTCGCGTCCCTTGGATTGTCATCTCCTTTTGGCATGAAATCTGTACATATTTGGAAAGATGATACTAAAAGTGTTGTTCTCACATCACTTGTGACCTCAAAATTTACCCTACTCCTATCACCTATCCTGCATGACACATTCCCATCAAATCCCCCCCCTTCAAGATATTTCTCTAAAGCTGACATTAAGTGTTGCATTTTTAGTCCTGCATTCTCCTTCCAGTGCTCTATATTTCTCCTCAATCACTTCCCTCTAAAAGTATTCTCCTTTACTCCAAATCTCCATAACCACTGATAGCACCCTGTTAAGGACCTTTACATCTTTAATCCCAAGTATTCCCCGACATTTTGATGCCATGACAGTCTCCCAGTTTATCAGGTGAAAATTTCCCCACTTGTAACATCCCATAGAAGAAATGTTTTTTTCACTTTCTTAGAATGGAAATTTTCTCATGTTCTATGCTATAGTGTTCTGTTATATTAGTGAAAGGTAGGATTGGACTAATGTTGAAATTATTATGGATTAAAATACTCCAAGAAATTAAACATCATCACTATTGGATGCAAGTGCACTTTAAAATGTAGTCCTTACCTTGATCCTAATTCCCATTGAATTAGAACATCCAACATTGACAAAGGCAGTACTATAAAAGTAATTATATACATTAATTTACCGCATTGTGTGTATAAACAGTTAGTTACTTTTAGCAGACTGCAGACTTTGGGTTGTCTCTATTTAGTGCTTTGTTTCCTGTGTTCCTTGCTTAAGTTTTGCATCTGAAGTTTGAATTGGTTCTAAGCCTTCTACCTGGTGTTAATGCAGAACTATAATGTCGTAAATTATGATGAGAAAGTGATGGATGGATTCTATGATGTTTATGGAATTAATTCCAGTGCGGCGATTCAGGGAAAGATGCCTTTGTTAGTGGATCTAAAAGCAGTTTCGGTTTTGGATAATGTTGCTTATGAAGTTATCTTAGTAAACCGTGCAGCTGATATGGAACTGCGGCAGCTTGAGGAGAGAGTGTACTTCATGTCCCGGGAATGCCGAGCTTTAAAGAAGGTCCCGGTTACAAGCTTTTTAGTTGAGAAAATCGCTGACCTTGTTGTTAATAGGATGGGAGGTCCTGTTAATGATGCAGAAGAAATGTCAAAGAGGTGGACTGCAAGGAGTTATGAGCTAAGAATTTCATTAAACTCTATCATTCTTCCCCTTGGCTGTCTTGATATTGGACATTCTCGACATAGGGCCTTACTCTTTAAGGTGACAAGAGCTTCAATCTCTCCTTACATTTCTTTACTAGATTGATATGGATAATTAGCTTGCTTTAGGATAAAACATACTATTCTTTTTTTTGGGTTCTAGTATCAAATGATTGATACTCATTATCATGAAGTATTCAGTAGTGAAGTATTTCCTGGCTAACTTCCTCATTTTTATCATCTGTAACTACCAAGTAACACTTACTCCCTCCGTCCCATTTTATATGATGTACTTTGATTTGGCACAAACTTTAAGAAAAATGGAAAGACTTTTAAAACTTGTGGTCCAAAATGAATGATAGAAATTTGTGTGGTTGAAAATCATTTCATTAAGGGTAAAAAAGACATTTTATAGGCAAATTGTTACTTAAAATAGAAATGTGTCATTCTTTTTGGGACTGACTAAAAAGGAAAGTAAGTCATATAAATTGGGACACAGGGAGTATCTTTTATTCTCGTATTTCTACTTCTCTATCGTTGTGGTTGGGTTAGGCTGAGGTGTTCGGTGGGAAATGGACACGTGCCATCACATCTGGATTTTGGGATGTGACAAAAATGGTGTCAGAGCCCCAGGTTCATGGGTCTCACGTGTACAAGCCAAGTCTAAGTAGCATCTCGAGGATCGGTACGGAGACGTCTGTACTTATCTTGGAGAGGCTATGGTGACTTTTAGGAAAGATCTTTATTACTTGATTCTCTATCGTGCGTCCTTGGTCCAATCTAATTCTTATCACTTCACTCTGTTCTCTCTTTCATTGTAATGACTTGCGGTTGGTCCTGCGTGGGTGCGAGTTTAGGTGTCATCGCGTGATTTTAGTGTTAGATCTGGTTTTGATGCGGAGGTGATAGGCTTGTGGAAAGGAAGTGTGATCAGACATGGAATTCTCTTCGAGACGAGTGAGTAAGGTTGTGGCCAATTGATGTGTTTTGAGTTTATGGTATTGGAAGATGAACATTTATTAAGAGACTTCAGGAACGTCTTATTTCTCCGGTCATTTATTCTTCAGATAGATCTTTGCCTGTCTTTCAATGTTCAGCAGTGGAATCCATGCTCTAGTATAAGGGCATCTGGCATCTTATTCAAAATGAGAAGGCAGTGCTAATTCTATCATTTTAAGCTATATTTAGTCCTTTTCTAACCGAATGGAAAATACGGAAAATCTCTGATTTCCAAGAGTGGATGATTGACTTTCTCTTTTACACCAGTTTATTGTTTAGTTGGTTTCTTTTCTAAAGGACTACAACATTTTCTCTGATTTTTGTTGAGAGTCTTCCCAGACTCATGCTTTTAACCATACCATTTACTCTGCTGAATAGGTACTTGCTGATAGAATCAACCTACCATGCAAGCTAGTTAAGGGAAGTTACTACACTGGCACTGATGACGGAGCAGTTAATTTGATCAAATTTGACAATGGAAGGTAAAGAATCTTTTGGTGGCACATTTTTCCTGGATGTTTATAGTGTTTGCTGAAAATATCGATTTGTGTTTAAATCTTTGAAAGAGGTGAATTTAGTTCTGCTTTCTCAAAATTAGTATTTCTAATAAAATCCTTCGTAGTGGCTGTTGAGTTTCTGATGGCTCTTCTCTCTCTCTCTTAGATCTTTCCACCCTATATTTCTAGTTATCGAAAATCATGTAGAGCAGGGGTGAGGTTTGAGGGTTTTGGATGGGTAAATGCTAGCTTCAAAAAAGATGCAGCACCCCCTCTCCCCAACTTTGACTCATCTAATATCCTCCATCAAATGTTAAAATGTATCTATCCTGTTGATACCAATTTTCCATACCTAGTTTCAGTTTATTTAGGGACTTTCAGTACCCACTACTATCATTTGGTGGTGTATGTACCTAGAAATATTCATCATTTTTAGTTAGATTCCATGTAGCCACTTAACTCGAAGAGCTTCTTTCTGAGGTATGATTACCCAAATTAGTTTCCCCACTACATCATGGTTCCATAACTGCAACTTTGTATATTCAGACCCCCCCCCCCCCCCCCCCCCCCCCCCCTTCTTTTACTCTGTTTGAGCAGATATGCTTTTGATTTTAATACAAATTTGGTGAGCTTTCTGCACAGAGAATGCTGCCTGCTATATTTACTAACATTTTTTTTTTATTTAGCGAGAATAACCGTTATATCTTTTTATTTTTTTCATGCTTCAATTATCAAGTAAATGAAGTTAAGGCATACTTATATTTGTCTTTGTAAAATATAGTATTGTTTATACTAAATAAAAAAGAGTACTCTTAATTTCCCTCTGTTTTCTGTTTTTCCTCTTGCAAGTTTAGTCAAAAGTTTGTTGTCTAAATCTTGCTGTTTCATGTAGGTTATTTGCTGTTTATCAATCTTTTGCCTTTATCTTCTATTTAAGTTCTTTAACCTTCTTCTGTAGAATTACAACCATGAAAATTTAGGAAATTTCCAGTAGTGACCTGACTGATTATTATTTTTTTGTGCAGTGAATATATTATTGATTTAATGGGTGCACCAGGTGCCCTGATTCCTACTGAGGCACCAAGTGGTCAATTACAAAGTTATGCAGTAGATGTGCACAGTGTAACACCACTTCCTTCTGGCGGTACTGTCATTTCATTTCCTGTTTTTGACACACAAACTGGGACAGGATCAGGTTCAGTTACTGCTGCTCATGGAACTGCCAATACATGGATTTCAAGGGAAGAACCAGCTTTCTACCACAATGAAGCAAAGGGGAATTGTGGAAATAGTTCAGGTAGAACTGGAAGCACCCAGTTTGAGCATGACTCTGGAAATCTCCTTCCATTGTCGGCTAGATTATGTGATGCTTCAGCAGTTTCCCATGATAACACATCCATTGCACAAATAACGCAAGCTAGAGAAGCTTACGAGAATGTGAACAGTCTTGCAGAAAACTCAGAAGTTAAACTCCTAGGTGTTTCTCCAGAGAGTCAAATGTATTTGCAATCAGATCTGGTTTTAGGAGTTGTTGCTGGAAAAAATCAATTATCAGAGGAAAGGGCTGTTGATACTAGACAAAGTTCAGAAATTAACAAGCAGTCTCTTGTAGCCTTCACCGGGATGCAGTTCCCTTACAGTATATCCTATAAAAGTGAACAGGAGTATACTGTTGCTGCACCGAGAGACAATACATTATATGATACTTCAGGTGAGAATTTTGCACGTGTTAGATGTAGAACGAATGAAACAATCCAAATTGGTCAAGGAGAATGTGTGGATTTCTTATTTATCCATTTTCTTGATCTTTTAGAAGAACATCTGAAAGTTGTTTTACTTGATGAAGGTGATAAATTCTTTAGGGAGAAGTTTGGAAATATTTCAGATAACGATTGTACTTACAAAGACAAAGAATCAGCTACAAAAGCAAGGGAAATAGTTACTTGCATACAGTCTAAGTCTTATGCGGTGCAGAAAGAACAGCTTGATCCAATGCTACGTGGAGTGGCAGAGTGGGAAATTCCATGGGAAAATCTCCATGTTGGTGAACGTATTGGTATTGGTAAGACTCAGTACTTGAAGTTCATCTTCTGTGATCGGACATAGATTGGTGAGGCAACATTGGAGAAAAGTTTGTGCATATTTATCTAAATCAAATATAAGCTTTCACTTTTTGGCTTTCTGTTGTGAACGTATGGGTACATGTTGCTATCTTGTTGTTAAATGATTGAAGAAAAAGGCAGAGTCAGACAGAATAGTTCTGTATGTTATTCGTAAATTATGTAGTTCACAGTTCATATGCAGTTACTTACCGAATGATGCAAGGTACACATTACGGAAATGTGTTCTCAGATTATAGAGCACAATCATACTTTATGCCCTGTAAAAAGGCCACTTCTAATTATGTTGTTAAACTAGGTCATAAGCAAAAAAAAGTTGAATCATTTTTCCCCCTAGTGTTTGTGATTTCAGGCTTAGTCATTTTAAATTCTCCAATTTTTGTGAATATTCCTGTTAATAAGTCATGTGTTAATTTTATATGAATAATAAGGTCTAAATTACAACTAGTTTCAAAAAATATAAGAAGGTCTAAATGACAAGTGTTCAGATGAAATTTGTTAGATTCTTTCCTTGTCAGAACTAGGTCTGTGTTAGTTTAATTGTGATTATTCATTGGCAAATTGTAGCTTGCACATTGGGTTAAGGTGAATTGGTAGATGATATGACCTTTTATTTAATGGATGTGCCAACTATTGGAAAGGGCTGAATGCATTACCTTTCTTCACATGAACAATACAGTACTCCTGCCATCCCAAATTCAGTTGTCCAACTTTTGACCGTTTTATGGAAAGGGAATTGTTATATATTTTGTGTAAGGAACAGATGTTGGAGAGTTCTCACAGCTTGTTGATTTCATTCTAAACTGAATATTTTGTTGAAGATGTAATTTCCTTTTATGTACTTTGCAGTATCTCCCTGGTACTAGCTTTATTAAAATACTATTATCTTATGAAACATATTAATGCCTTTTCAGTATCATATTACCAAAAGTTATCATAGTACCTTCTTTTCTTAAAATTATCAAAATACTCCAATTCTGGAAGAGGTATAATTGTGTGAGTGCCTCCAGTAGTATTGTTTGACTAGAGACTTTTAGCGCTTTGCTAAATATTTCCCCCTTCCCTTCTTTTTACTTACTTTTAGGAAGCAGATTATTTGTTCCTTATTAATGCAGTTTAACATGTAAATTAGTTGTTTTTTTCTTGCTTAAGTGAATGTAAAAAGAAGAATATCATTAAGATTGGATGCTCAATATAATAACACTGATTTGACTTTGCAGGGTCATATGGCGAGGTATACCGTGCAGAATGGAATGGCACAGTAAGTCTTATTTCTGATTGAATATCTATTCGTCTACCCTGAGTAGAAATAAGAACCATAGCACATTAGCTCTAAAGTTTGACAAGTCACCAATTTTCTGTGCTCCATTTTCCAGAGAAAGCAAAATGGATTTGTCTTTTTTCATGAATCAGTTTTCTAATTTTCTGAAGGGTTCTTTCAAATTAGAGATTATTTTATATTTCTTTTATGTGTCAAATCTTTTCCATGAATTCTGAAATCGTAGGAGCTATTAACACTATTGGATGTGTGCACACTCTCTTATCATAAGAGGCGTGTGTGCACACTAGATACTAAATGACTTGACGAAATATTTAGGCACCTTACACTTTTCATCAAAATTGTTTCAAAAAATGTCATTCACAGAGGATAATGACAAAATGAAAATAGGCAAAAATTGAGAAATCATTGGATCAGATGTGGTTCTCATGATTCCAAGTGGAAGGATAAGAAAAGTTTCCACTCTACTTTACTTTTAGTGGCACTGGTGCCTGTAAATTTCTCCCTGATTCCAATTTATGTGACGTAGTTTGACGCGGGATGAAGTTTGAAAGAAAAGAAGACTTTTGAAACTTGTGGTTTTACACAAGTCATAACATTTGTGTAGCTGTAAGACTTTTGAAACTTGTGGTTTACACATGCCCTAACATTTTAAGGAAGAGCTCATTTCTCATTAAGAGTAAAATGAGAAGTTTAAAGTTGAATTACTTTCAAATATAGAAATGTGCTATTTTTTTTAGAATTGATTAATAAGGGAATCCTGTCACATAAATTGGAACAAAGTATGTTTGGAATACAAGATGATGGCAAGGGTAATTTAGAAGCGCCATTGAACTTCAAGTAAACTCAAAGCAACTATTTCAAATAATATTATGCATAGTATAGACAAGATTTTCCTCTTAGATCTCTGTATGTAGCTTAATAGATAAGCTGATATTTCCTTTCTTCCCATAGTCACTATAGTTACAACCGAACTCTCACCCATGAACTTCATTATGTCCTCTTTCCTATTTCTCTCCTTACTAAAGCACCTGACAAAATCTAAAATTGGTTCAGCCAGATTCTAATTGAGCATTTTGTTCCTGATTTAAGACATATACACTTGGCAGAAAACACTGACAACCCCTTTAACTTGCCAATAAAATTCATTTTGACATTCAAACGATGGCATGTTCCTATTAAGCACCTGCACATGATTAAATATTTCTATTTGACACTTTTGGCTCAAAGTTTGGAAAATCTTTTGCGCCTGTTCTCGAGTGCTCATTCCATAGATAAGTTAATCACATAAATATGTCACATCCTTTAATTATAGACATCAACCTTAGTTGGAACATGCATGAGGTTTTACGGCCTATTGATCTAATGTGAACAATCAAAGGAGGTGAGATACAACTAGTTAACTTATCTATGTAATGGGTGCTTGCGAACACACATAAGCTTTTCTAAAATTGAGCCGGAATTGTCTAAAGGTGTTCGGGTACTCAATCGGAATAGGCCGTAGTTTGAGTGTCCGAATGAAATTTATTGGCAAGTTTGAAGGGTTTTCGAAGTATTCCTTCTGCCTATACACTTCCTTTTTTGATAAGAATGCATATATAAACACATACATATATACATGCTCACATAACGAGAAATATGTGTACATGTAATAGTGATGGTCTCTCTTTACCAAATCAATCTACCCCCAGCTTGATGTTTCAACCATTTTCTTTCATTCTCCATTGATCTTAAAATCACAGACCATGCGCTCCAATTCTCCGTTAATTGTATGAGCTATTTTGATTATCCTTAAAATTGAAGAGATTGTAAAGTAGTTACAACCAAAAATTGAATTAACATATGAAACACTATGTTTAGAAACCATGGCAAGGAAATCCCATTGTCTTGGTTTTTCTATTCCTTTAGCCAAGTCCCCCCAAATTAAACTTAATCAAATCAAATAGACTATGCCCTCAAACTAAATTCATTAGATGGTGAATAATCAGAGAGAATAATGAAGAATAAAGGGTAAATGAACTACAAATTTTGGGTAAAGGCTGGGCATAGTTATAGCAATCAAACTAAACCTAATCAATGTAAATTAATCAAATTAATATGAAATTATGAATCGTGTGATAATCTTAACACTCCTTGAAGTATTTTTGTCATAGTCTCCAAACGTGTTGCAAATGTATTCAATTCGAGGAATTTTGTTTTTGTAAGAAAATCCACTTGTTGATCATTTAATTTGATGAAGCTAGAAGCAATTCATCCGGATAAAATTTTCTGTTCTTAAAACACAATCAACCTCTATGTCATGTTCTTTCATGAGAAAACTAGACTTGAGGCAATATGATTGACATATTGGTTTTATCTATTCTACTTTACTTCACGTCTACTCTTGGAGAAGTTATTTCTTTACTAAATTGGTGACAACATCTTGGTTTTCACTCTTCAAAGAAATTAGATTTTCTCTAATCATGACACAGTATTTAGAAGTAGCTTATCTATCTAATCGAGAACTTGCCCAATACAACTACTCTTCAAATCCCAAGCTATTTGGGATCTGTTATATATATATCCTTACCATTCATTTCATTCTACGTCTTTTCTTAGGAGCACATCCCAACATATCCTATTATAGGATAAATAGTAAGAGCGAAATATATGCACCACAAGTTTAGTCAGTATAAGAAAAGAGAAGTTAAGGTGAGATTAGACGGGATTGTGGTTGTCTAAAAGCAAACAATTCAAATATCTTGGTTCGTTCCACGAGAATGGAATGATAGATGAAGTTGTTAAACAAAATCAAATCAGATGGTTGAAATGCAAATTTGCTACCGGGGTGTTATATGATGGAAGCATGCCTACCAAAATGAAGGATAAGTTCTATAGAACAGTTATAAGACCAACAATGTATATGGGAGTGAATGTAGGGCCATTTAAGTCCAACATATCTGTAAGATGAGTGTTTAGGAGATGCATATGCTCATACAAGATTAGACAAGATTAAAATATACCACCTTCGCCAAAAAGTACAAGTAGCACACGCTAAAGATAAAATAAAAGGTTGCTTGAGATAGTTTGGTGATGTCCTGCGTCAATCTCTAGATGCACCGGCTCGTAGATGTAATACCATGGTAAGTGAATGTGTTAACTAAGATCATGTGGAAGGAAGTTATCTAAACGACCTATAATTTTTCTTTGGAAGTCTCATGCAGAGTTAGCGAAACTTAGGGCACAACGGATAAAATAAGCATTTATACAGGTGATCGAATTAGTTGGGAATATGCTTTGGTCGTGTTAGTACATTTATTTTAGGTTTCGTGCTTTCTAGCATTCTTTTAGCCCTATCTGAGATTTTTATGCCTACAGAAATATAGACAACTTCTGGTACTTTTTCTATATTTTATTTTTAGCCCTATCTGAGATTTTTGTTTTTTTAGTCTTTGTGTTCTCTGGTATCTTGTCAAATCTTTGTTCTGGTTAGTGGTTAGTGGTGTCCTAGAAAACTGACATGTGCTGATCACTCACTGTCCATCCATTACTTTGAACTGATAAAAGTAATGAAAGAAATAGACTAGCATCCCGCACCTCGGTAGTCTGTGCCAGTAGCATGAGAATGGTCTGGAATGTTTACTGTAGTGATTGTATAATTATCTAACACTCTTTTTCTGTAAATTTAATTTAATGGAATGAATCTTTCTATATTGCAGGAAGTTGCTGTGAAGAAATTCATGAATCAGGATATAACAAATGATGCCCTTGAACAGTTTAAATGTGAAGTAAGTTGTAATAGACAATGATAATGATATCTCTGTACTATGAGTTCTCCTGAACTTTAAGAACTCTTTGTGTGTATTGCATTTTGCAGATTGAAATTATGTTGAGGCTGAGACATCCTAATGTTGTGCTATTCATGGGAGCTGTAACTCGTCCCCCAAATCTCTCTATATTGACCGAGTTCCTTCCCAGGTTGACAACTCTTTGCTACATGCACATCTACTGACATACTACACTTGGAAGTTTGCCCATTTCTTAAATGTTTAGTCTTGGCTTTCTAATTTTGGCTCATGGGATTTCAAACCATTCGTGTGACAGGAAATTCTGCATTGTTGTCGGTTTGTAGTGGTTTGTACCTTTTACATTTGTGTTCTCTCAAATCTTTCTTTTGGGAGAGCAAATGGTTACACAGTTTAAAATGTGCAAGAAACTCCTATCTCATCTGAAATACCTCCTAGCTCTATTTCCATTGATGCTGAGATATTTGATAGTATATTTGTTATTGAGTAATATATCAATTTTGTGTTTCTCTGCTGAAGTGTATCTGATATCTGTAGTTTTGGTGCAGGGGAGGTTTATATAAACTACTGCATCGTCCAAACATCCTTATTGAGGAGAAAAAGCGTATGCGGATGGCACTTGATGTGGTATTTATTTGATGCTGAACAGCCCCACCCCCACCCCTCACGGGTTTGTTGTCAGTTTTAGTTTTCTGTTTGCTAATGTCTCAACTTCTTGTAGGCCAAAGGAATGAATTACTTGCACACAAGCAACCCTATCATTGTGCATCGAGATTTGAAGACTCCGAATCTTCTGGTTGATAAAAATTGGGTTGTTAAGGTGTGTCTGACTTGAATTTTGAAATAGTAGCCTATAAAATTTGTAAGAAGTAAGCTGCTGTTTATCCCCCAATAATCCATGCTTCTTCCATGCTTGAAGGTTTGTGATTTTGGGATGTCTCGCTTGAAGCACCACACATTTCTCTCTTCAAAGTCAACTGCTGGAACGGTGATTGCATGCTCACTTTTTATGACTCAGTTTATGCCATCTTTCCAGGCCTCTTTCCTGCTGTCCACTACCCTTTGAGAACAAAAACAAGAACTAACAAAGATTATGGTCTAAATAGGTTGAGAAAAAGATAAGATCTGAAACCGTCAAATTTTCTAATGGTATTCCATTAATTGCAGGCTGAATGGATGGCACCAGAAGTTTTAAGGAATGAACCATCCAATGAAAAGTGAGTTTACTCTTTATTAATACTGTTCTTGAGGCTGAACTTTGCTATGGTTATTAGTTTTGGATTTTCTTAGATGAGTTTGGTTTGTCTGGTTTGCAGATCTGATGTGTACAGTTTTGGTGTAATACTCTGGGAGTTAACTACTCTCCAAGTGCCATGGACAGGGATGAACTCAATGCAAGTTGTTGGAGCTGTTGGTTTTCAGGGTAGACGCCTTGATATTCCTCCAAGTGTTGATCCCATAGTTGCAGAGATTATAAGCGAATGTTGGAATCAGTATGTATCTATTGAACTTTGATACAATTTCATGTGCAAATGATTTCCAGTGTGTTCATGTCCAAAAGAATGTGTCTTTGTTTAAATGGTTAATACCCTTTTTTTCTGCAGAGATCCCCAAGTGCGCCCCTCTTTTGCGCAGATTATAAGTCGTCTTAAACGTCTTCAGCGTCTTAATATCCAGGGATTTGAAACTTGTACAAATCAGCATTAAGGTTGACAGGTTAGGCATTGTTGTAATAATAACAGAAGCTTGTTGCTGGGCTCAAAGTGCCAGAGCAACTGAGAATTGATTGCAAAGTCTTGTAGATGCAAAGAAGCACTCAAGAAAACCCTGGATTGGAAGCAGTTGGTTCATTCGAAGTGGGGACTCAACGCAACCAATTCAGAAACAAGCAGATATCTCCAAGTCAATGGCTGCACGAAGTGCAGTAGTTGAAAATTAGGTCATAGTGATCGTTGTATCCAGTCTTGAGTTATGTAAAAGGAAAAAAGAAAAAAAAATCCTTTTTAGTTTTAGTTAGTTCTAGGCTGATGAATGCACAGTACCATTGAGATATGTAATGAGTTCCAAAAAGGAGCAGCAGAAGAAAAATCTCAATTCTGTGAAGGTCGTCGAAGGAAGCAATTGTAAACAGTCGGTCTCTGCAGGTTGTACCAACAGAAGAATAAATGGAAATGAGGAAAATTTCCTACATTACCATCTTCATTCTCTTTGTTGTGCTTATATATATAGTGAAGTGAAGACATTTTTGTGTATAGTAATACATACGGTGTACAGTAAGTACAGTGCTAAACTTATTTGCTAGACGTAGAACCACCAACTTGAGTAAGGAGCCTTATGCCTGCTGATTCAACTCATTGCTAAAATCTCCCTACCACTTTTGCAGGTGAGCTGTTCTGTTTTGGCTTTGGTTAAATGCTTTTGTGAATAAGTCATCTATCTGTCTTCTCTTACATTTGTGACAACTAGCTATGACAGACAGAACAAGGAATTATAAATGATAAATTGCAAGAATATCTATCACACTTGGGATTTAAACCTACAGCTTAAATTCTCAAATCAACTTATGTTAAGGTGATTTCCACAATTCTTATACATTGATGGGAATTTTTCAAGTTGTAATTAGGGAATTCTTTTTATCTACTTGTCAAATGCTTGGAAATAAGTGTAACATTTACAAACTATAACTTTTGGAGATTCACAAGTTTCAATAAGTACACACTGTTAGGAAGAACTTCAATGACTTTCAAAATGCAAGCTTTGATTTTAGTTTTTATCCAAGGAAAATTCACAAATAGCAGTACTTTGAGCCCTAATTACCAACTATAGCGATAGTTTGGCTAATTATCAAATGTAGTTCACTTTTAAAAGCCTTGTGATACAATGGATTGATTCATGTAGTATCAACGCAAACATATACAAAATTAATTGGTACATTGATACAAAAGCGAATCGATATAGCTCCAAGCAAAATAAATAAAATTCAAACTCTCACCATGTATTGTAATTTTTGAGCGTATATTTGCTCTGTCAAATATTTTTTCCTTCTTTATCTCATACATCCAAGAGTCGACCAAACCATAAGGCCGCTAAAGCCTTGACCTTACGCACAACATCATTAAGGCCTCAAAATTTGTCTATGTACATTATTATTCAAAGGTTTTAAGTTGTATGTTTTCTGATGAATTTTGTTTATATTTATTGATGAATGAATGCACAAATTAAGATTAAGTTTTTATCTTTTCTTTATTACTACATTACCTCTCCTTCTTTTCTTTTCTTTTGTTCTCACTCCACATACGTGCATTCATTTTCTATTTGCCACATATGGTTGATTCATACACCATGAAAAGTAAGCCCTTTGAGATTATAGAATCAAGGTATTTATTTTTATGTAACCTCAATGAATTCAAGCATCCAAAAGAGCCGTAACATAGTAGTGTAACTCAACTTGATTTTCTCCAATTTAAATTTTACTATTTTTTCTTGTCCTAATCTTACACAGTTATTTAATTGAATATATTTAGTGAAATATATTGTTAATAATACAATGTTTAATACTTCTTAAATATTGAATTAATATAAACTAATTTTTAAAAGTTAAAATTAATAACACTCAAATGTCTGAGAAAATAAAAGTTGCAGAAATGAGGATATTATGATGGATGTAAGGATATATTAGGAGGGATAGGATTAGAGATAAAGATATTTGGGACAAGGTGGGAGGAGGTTCGATGGAGGATAAGAAGTGGGAAGTGAGGATGAGATGATTTGGGCATAATAAGAGGTGAGGCAGCAATGCCCAAGTGCAAATGTATGAGAGGTAAGCTATGTCTGGTTTCAGGAGAGTTGGGGATAGACCAAAGAAGTATCGAGAAGAGGTGATTATACAAGGCACGACACAGTTTCAACTTACAGAAAATATGATCGCAGATAGTAGGTTGTGGAAGATAAGAACTAGATAGAAGGTTAATAGGTAGTAGAGTGTTGTCTCACTTATCTTTCCATACTATTAGTCATAAACTTACTACTCCAGTTTTTGGTCTTTCAAATTTTGTTACTATTTGTTGTTTCTTGTACTTCGATAATCATATTATTTGTTGCAATTATTGTTCAGAATCATGCTTCCTATAGTATTTTTTTTCATGGCTTCTTCACTTATGTTATTTTCTTTTTTCGTACTACTTTGAAATATTTCTTCTTGAGCCAAGAGTCTATTGAAAATAGTCTATCTACCTCGAAGGTATAAATAAAATCTATGTACACACTAACTGTCACGCCCCGAGCTACCCCCGAGACGCGGACACGGGACCTAGGACCACAAGTGATCCCAAGCTAACCCTGCTGGCATGATCATGAGCATACTAAATATAATCTGAATAATAGAAACTGCACGGAAGCTAAATCACAAATAAATCTGAAAGATGGGGAATACCCATATACTATAACTGAGATATATGAAAACTGATGAGTTTAATACAAAGAAGATATTAACTCAACACTAAGCTGAATCTAACTATGTCTGAAATAAGCCTCTAAACTGACTAGAAATGTTGGGACATGCC